GCCGAGATCTGACTGCGAGGTTGTATAGTCGTGTTTTAGGGTCAGATTCGTAATTTTGTTTGTGTCAAGGACTAATCGCCGGTGTAGTCCTGAGGGAAATTTGTGAGGGACATATCTGCAATTTACACAAAATTGCAGGCCCGACTTCCCCTTAGCCGTGACGGCCCTTAGCAGACCCGGGCTATCACTAGGACAGCAGGCTTATCTGGGTCTTGGGCTGTAGAGACGGCTTAGACGCCGTATAGCCGGGTAGGGCCCAGGCCGAACAGGCCAAACTGATGCGGTACCGGTCCAGTAGGCCTAGGTCTAGAGATGGCTAGTCTATTAATAGGAATGGGCTTGTAAGTTAGGGACTTTTGGGCATTTCATTTTCGTGAGACATTCTGGAGCCAAGCAAGTTTGGTGGCAGTGATTGTCTACAGGTGGCATCCTGAGACCCTCATCGTGGACGGCAGCCATAGCCAGCCGGCTGGTGTTTGCCATAGCTGGGGCATCCTCTGAGCATCTACCCGTGAGGGTATCTGCGATTGGCTGGGCTGTTCTGAGGCTCTTCACTGAGCGTATGTGGGTGGACCACTGTCGCCCTTCGCTCCTACGGGATTGTCAGGGTTCGTCAGTGGTGCGGCAGCCATAGCTGCCATCTTCTTCGTCAGAGTTACTCATCGGAACTGAAGACTTCATCACGATTCATGTTCTTCATCTAGATGGTTGGGGCTGGCCTCTGGGAGGCGGATTCAGTGTTGCGCTACTAACTGGGTGTGGGATAGAGAGTGGTGTGTGGAGTTCTGAGAGTGGCGAGACACTGGGATAAACTCTGTAACGATTATTGGTTTGAGTTGGCTCATCATCAGTGTGATTCCGATTGTTATCCTCGCAGGTGTCTTCTTGTGATTGGTTGTTGGGAGTCTGTCAGAGAGTGAGAACCTCTGTGTGTCTTCTCCCCCATCTGTGAATGGTTGAATTCCGCTGCTTATCTTTGTCTGTGTGCAGTTTGGACTCGTCTCCTCTCCCCTTTGTCTGGTATGTGTATGGGCGTGTGTCAGACACTTTGTGTGTGAGTGCCGAGAACATCGTCAGACAACCAAGTTCATAACAATGGGACCTCACAACTCTACCCCCCGAGTTCTCCTGGGAGCATTACCCAGTTTAGATTACGAGCGGAATGCTCACATTGAAGCAGAGTTCATCATTGCAACAACTAGCTAACCAACAACAACAAGGACGACTGCTACCTATACATAATTGTTACTACCGCCAGGCTTCAGAGTCTTTCAGACAACCAGTCACAAACCAAGCACACGACATTGGGTCCTAATACGGAGTCCGACCCTAACCAGGGGCCGTGACCCACTAGCGGGGGTTTAGTTTATTTATGTCTCGTGTATTTTCCAACGTGGTCACACTACCGTCTTCACCCGAATAGAACGCCCAGTCATTATAACTGTACCGGTACAACTTTCGATCCAGATGCAGCGATAATGACCGGGCGTTCTATTCGGGTGAAGACGGTAGAGCCGTGAGATTTTCAGATCGGATGGCAAGGAGCCATGTACACTCAAAACCAGAACAAAACCTCTAGAAGTGGGACATGGCCCCGGTAATCGGCTCGAGCTGGCAATCGGCTCGAGCTGGAAAACGGGTCCAGCGTCCCAATACTGCCTTACGACACACAATCCCTCCAAAATACAAACTTGAAGCACCGTCAAAAAGCCAAACTCTGTGGAAAACAAAGTAAAAAACCTAACTATGGAAGTCTACAAGAAACACAATTCCCAAGCTTATAACTCCTACACAAGCTAAACCTAAATCATTCCAACTTGAACTCTGCAAATTAACGCCTAGCTACCAACTGAGAGGTGTCTTGACTACTGCCGTACAGGCAGACTCGCTCTGAAGTCCTGCCGTGGTAGGCGGACGCCTCTCGTTTTAGATTTCTGAGAGCCCTCCTTTCGTCGTTTTCGTACATCGCGCCCACCCGGCCATGCACAGACACACCCGCCTCATAGAATCAAACCAGCTGAAACCCATTCAAATTCCAATCCTGAACACTCCTCCAGTCAGCAACAGTCACAAAAGAAGAGGTTCCCCTCACCCACCTCCTCTCCGCCTACTCTGTCCTTTCCGTCCCACCCAAAGTTCCCCTCCTTC